AGTGAAAATAGGCAAACTTATAAGTATTTGGAACCTTCCTCCACCCTCAAACTAACCTCAGCCCGCTTTCTGGCTTATTGCTTCAGGTCCTGGGCTATCTCATTTGTGGTGCAGAATCAAATACTAGTTATAAAATGAAACATAACAGACTCCTGGGATAGGCTGCGGTGATCAAGTACTAAATTGCTGAGCCGAGAGGTCTGGAAATAGGATGCTCTTTTTGGCCTCAGTTGGAGAAACATTTGAGATAGTTGCAAAGGTGCAGGAGAGAGTCTGTAGAGCAACATACTGTTGATAACGACTGAGGTTAAGAACAATGGGATGAAAGCATTTGAAAGTGTCTTTGTGGGTTATGGAAACACGTCTATGTACATCTATGTGTTTTCTATGTGCATTTCAGCCTATCACCTTCAAGCTGTGATTGGAGCATTATTATTTAAAGTTGCTATTATATTTGAATCTTAAAGAATACACTTATGGAGGCCTTTCATGGATATTCACAGAAGTAGGAGAACTAGTTTTTTTTCAAAATGTATGTATATTTAATTAATTTGTTTAATACAACAGAGAAGTCCATGCAAATGTTTCCTTTATATGATCATGGGATTATAGCCTGTGTCCTCAGAACAGGACACTTTAGTTTGGGGGTGGCATTTTGTTCTGCAGCTCTGTTCTATCTGTTGCTATGTGAGGGTCACATTTTAAAGTTATTGTTCCTGGCTCATATGCTCTCCCTCCTTGGTCAGGCCACCCTCACTGTCAGAACTCACAGATGTATGTTTACCATTTCCCTTTTCAGGTTAACAAGATTATCTCATATTTTAAGGGGTAACAGATACCCATCCATCCATCTACCTGTGCATCGATTTAATTCAGCCTTCCATCCATTTAATTCATATATTCATTTTTTGATAAATATCTACTGATTAAATTATTGTATACCAGGGAGTATGTTGGTCTGTGATAAATGAACACACACACACACATTAATGTTTTATGGTTTAGTAGGGAAAACCGACTTGCAAGTAAGTATACCTATGTGGTAAGTGTAATATTGGAAATGTACAATATAAAGATCTAGCAGAGGAAAGAGATTGTTTAATGCTTGAAGTTTAGGGGATATGGAGGACTTTGATGAGAAAGTCATTTCTAAGCCAAGTTTTACAATTGAACAGGAGTAGGTAAGTTATGCAAGGAAAGTCTATCAGTCCAGGAAGAAGAAAACAGAGCAGAGAATTTAAAATGTGTATTTAAGCTAGTAGAAAACGAATTCAGAAAAATCTTTTAAATAAGAGAAATTGTATCTTGAAGTGAATGATAGGAACTTACATTTATGCGTTTATTGATGTTTGATTAAATCTATGAATAATAACGGTAGCATTCTTTTTATGTAAGATGACCAAATGAAGGAAAATTATTACTGCGTTTATTCGAAGATTAGCATCACCTACTGTACTTTATTCTGAAGACACTGATTGGTAGAAACCATTGCTAAGATACTGTTAGGTTGCCCCCTATGGGTGAGTCACAAATTCCTCTCCAGGCTCTTCTCTTGGTATTATGTCCATTCCCCTGGCTTAGCTGAGAGTCGTTTCTTCTAAATGGCTTATAATTAGTGCTTAGCCTCGGCTCTGCCCTCCTTTTCTGAATAAGGCCTAGAGGTTAAACTTGTTTTCTTTCTCCCATTTCAAGACCTTGGTAAAACCTAGTTGTTCATAGTCCTCGGGAGGGACATTGCTAGGAAATGGGCTCTTCTTTTATGCCCAAGACAGGTACTGTGTTGTGCAAATAGCCGCTACAGGAGATAATACCAACTGCCTTGCTAATAACTTTGAACTCTAAGGATTCTATAAACCCTCTCCAAGATGAAGCAACACTGTTTTATGATAGGGGGAGACTTTTTGCTTTAGCTGCGAAACCCATTGTTTTCCACATGAGACTTATCTTGCTCCGGACCAGGGGTTAGCGGCCAATAAAACTGGGGACAATAACACACGTGAGTGGGCTGATTTGTGCCACAGATGTGTGAACTCTTGGCACTGCATCAGGTAAGGGAACGGTATTGTTCTGATCACTATGCCTTATTTAAGTGTGTGGCGCAAAATCACTCACGGAAAGAAATCTCAAAAAAGATCCATGCAAATGACGCAGACACAAAGCTGGGGAACATGCAGCGGAGCTCATGAAAGGAGAAGGGAGCCTTGTTGAGCTAAAGGAACGAAATTGAGGTCAGTTATTTTGAAGCTGCACCCAGGAGCTGAAGCTGAAGGAGGAGGGAAGGGAAGTGTTTTCTATAGTTGGAAGTCATAAAAGGAAAGGTAATGGTCTAGAATTAGGCACATTCAGGTAAGGCAAGAAGTAATCATTGAACAGGAAGGTACCTGAGTCATCCTAATTAGAACTGCTTAAAAATAGGACAACTAAAATACTGGTGAGATTAACCTTTATTATCATGCTCCTGAGGGGCGGAGGGAAATGAACCCCAAGACAAACCCCAGTGTAATCTTTTCCTTGAAGTTTACCTCTGGGTTGTAGCCTTCCTAGGTGTTTTAATACCCTTTTTGTTCTTCCCTGCTAATCTGTCTTTTTCTATGGCATTCTTGATTCTCCTAAACTGGGGTAACCCAGTCTTCTGCGCTAAAATGTACCCTCCTTGTTCTTACAGATTTATCTAGTAAATCATTTCTTGTAAAAACCATCCTTAATTGTTCTAGAATCCTCCGTGGCTCAAAGCTATTGCAGTGAGTCTAAATTAATTCTGCTCCTAAGTATCTGTGCTAATGTGTAATTTATCCACATTGGAGAGCTGTTAGTCCATTCACGATGCTATCATGGATTTAAAGGCCTAGGTATCTTCACAAGAAGAAAAACATACAGAATCACAGCTGTGGTGATCTTGAATCCAAAATAAAGTCTTCTAAATTTGTGGCTTGGAGCACATGCTGAATCAGGTGTGAGCATATACATTAATTGGCATGGCCGCACACTATTTTTGGAAACACCTGGAAGGCAAATTGCTGTTGGTGGATGCAAAAAAGGCAAAGGACGTAATCTAATTTGTAAATCACGATAAATATGACAGCATTAGTTCCTTCAACTGAATGGCACAGATTTTGAACTTCCTTTTTTCTTTAATACTTATTGAACACACTGTTTTCTGTTTTGCTACTCCTGAAGCTTTCCAAGAGAGAACATGCAGGGCTGTGAAAAAATAGCTCGTTTTCGACGAAAGCCTCAATTGAGCTTCACAGTGTCGCCATGACCTCCTGCTCCCCCTGAAGAACACGGATTTACTTAGTGCTCGTTCTGTCTCTCAGTATCACTGACAATTTATATCCTGAAATGCAGAACAACAATGGTCCGGTTCGGTGTCACCTGCCAGAGCTTCATTTGTGATGATCCCTCTCCAACCCCTCTCTCTATTTTTCCATGAAAATTTCTTCACATCATGCCTGTGTGCTTGTGCATGTATGTGTACATGCACATGTGTGTACACATGTGTATGTGAAAACACCAGGGGTGGTTTCCCTCTCATTTGCCTGCTCCTGTCCAAATCCTTTTTAATTTTGTAACTGTTGACTTCCACCTTCTCAGTCTAAGAAATTGGAAGAAACTTGAAAATACTGTTAATCTCATTTTTCTTTCTTTCTTTTTGCTATAATAAAAATGGGTTAATGCCAAATCTAAATTCTGTGGGGATTCATCCGGTACTTGTGGGACTCAGTGCTTATTTAATAATTTGGTAGTTTTGTGACGAGCATTGGGCTAGATGCCGGGGAGATAGTGATGAACTCAACAGAGCTGGGTTCCTGCCTTCACGGAGGTTACGGTGTGGTGGGAATGAGGATCATAATTTTCATGAGACTTGAAAGGAAAGAAGCACTTGCTCTGAGATGCAATGAAAAGTAGGGAAAGAAGTATGGAGCAGACTGAGTTGGCGGTGAGCGGTGCACTGGAGTTGGAGAGAGAGGTGGGACCTGCGTGGAGGATTAAGGCTGTGGGAGGGGCTTCAGTTTTTCCCCCTAAACAAATAGGAAGTCATCAAATAATTTTAGATGGAGGAATGAGATGTTGAAATTGGGCTCTGAAAAAGATTGATGGCGTGCTCTGTGGAGGACAGATGGAGGGGGCAGGAAGGACAGCACAGGATTAGACAGCCTCTGGTTCAGTGTCTGAGTTCCAGTCTGGAATCTGCTATTTGTTAACTTGATCATTTTACGAAAGTTTGTTAACCTTTCTAACCTCCAGTTTTCTAACTGGTATCACAGACATAATAATAATACCTGAATTATTAGCACTGCTGAGAGAACTAAGTGAGATAATGAATATAAAGCCCTTACTATAGCCTCTGGTGTATAGTGTAAATTTGGTGGTGCCTTTAACTAAGGTGGCAGGCAGCGTGGAAAGTAGATTCAATTTCTTAGAAGGCAGTACCTGTGACTTGGTAATGACCTATGAAGAGTGGGGGAAGTAAAGGTCTCAAGGGTTGCCAGTTTTAGCAAAATACAGGATGCTCATTTAAATTTGAATTTCAGTTATTTGTAAATAGAAGCCAATAATGGATGGGGCATACTTTTACTAAACAGATCGCCGCCAATAAGAAATTCAGATTTAACTGGGCATCCTGTGTTTTAGCTGGCTACCCTGGCAAAGATGTGTCGGGCTCTGGACTGGCCATCTGAAGAAGTGCTGCCGCCTGGTGTTAGCACGGAGATGGTTAGAGGAAGACCAGGTTTTCGTGCCGAGATCATGAAGCATGTTTTAAAGGCACTGAAGTTCCGGTGCCCGGGAGACACTAGGTACAATGCAAATTACCGACTCAGCCTTCTGACAGTGATACCTGACACCCTGGGTAAGAACAGCCAGAAGCAGATTTGTTGTGGGAATTAGTTCAGTGCCTCTACAGTGTGTTCTGTGTTTTGATGTGATCCAAAGACCACCTTTTAAAGAGAAGACTGGACGGGAAGTATGTATTCAGTCTTTTTGTTGTTTTATTCCAGGTCTGTATGTCTCCCCAGGCAATGCCACCGGCTGCCTGCCCTGTGCCTGCCACACAGCTGGCGCAGTCGGCCACATCTGTGACAGCCGGACGGGCCAGTGCGTTTGCCAAGATGCTTCCACCACTGGGCCCCGCTGTGACCGCTGCCGGGACCTGTACTTTGGATTCGATCCTCAGACTGGAAGGTAAACGTTTATAAGAGTTAATCATCACACACTTTTATTTAATTATATGTGCAATCACTTTAAATTTCTTTTTCTTTTTCTTTTTTTTTTTTACCAATGGTGACTTTTTTGGCAGTATCTTTTGTAAAATGCAGTGACTTTGTCCTCCTTAATTGGCTGATATATTTTGACTCTGATGTCTACTTTTATTAAATGTAATGGTAATCTTTGTGGCTTTTCTAGAGTCCCAACGTAAACATTGATAGATGTACCTCAGTATCTATTTGGGCCTGGGAATATTTAACCTGATAAAATCCTTTTCCCTCAACGAATTTAAACTTTGGCTGTGGAGAAAGACAGGTAAAGAGATATCCGTAGAATAAAACACACACACACACACGCATACACACACACACACACACACACACACACTATAAGGGCGAAGATAGCTAATATATGTACATCTACATTTTTATTTTTATGGCCCCCAAACTTATAGCTTATTTGTTGATTCCCTGCATCCATTTATGTTACCCTTGCCTTTCTAATTTATGCTTAAAGACCGGCAGATGAGAAACACATCTTTGCACGCAGTGATACAATTTTTCCCCTAGTGTATGAAGTACATCTGAAATGAAATGAACCACTTTTGAAAGTTGCCTTCTTTAATGTTCTGCTTCTCATTTCCTCTATATCTATGGGCATTTACCCTCATGCATCTGTGTTCATTGCTGTGTTTTTTTTAAGATTTTATTTATGTTTAGAGAGAGGGTAAAGGAGGGAAAAAGAGAGGGAGAGAAACATCAATATGAGAGAGAAACATTTATTGATTGACTCTCATACACATCACAGCCAATGACCAAACCTGCAACCCAGGCTTGTGCCCTGACTGGTAATGGACTCGGCAACCTTTTTCTTTGAGGGACGATGCCCAACCCACTGAGCCAAACTGACCAGGGCCCTCGCAGTGTTTCTGAAGATGAGCTAGAATGCCGATTGCATGAGTTTTGTTTTTCATTTTTTTCCAGGTTAGATTATCAATTTGTCTAGGGTTGGGACTAGATCCATTAATTCTTCTGTGTTCTTGTCTCCAAGCCAGGGGTATTTTGTTCCTTATAAACCATACAAATGTGTTTCTCAGTACAAATGTGTTTCTCTGTGTGTATGTGTTTATAACGATAATTACTAATTACTCAAGGAGTTGGGATGATCGGGCTCTTTCAGCACGCTGTCCCCTGCTGCCTGCCTTCAGCCACACACTCTTCATTAACACCTCGATCAGAGTGTAGACAGGGCAAGCAGTTAAATTATTCAGGAAGAAGTCAAACCAGTTAATTTGGCCTTCTACTAACATTCAGTGTGATGTTAAAAATTTCACCATGATATTTAAAATATTTAGTAAAATAATTTGTTTTATTGCATATCTTAATGCATGCCACTCGACTTCTGTTACCTTTGGCATAAGGGTTGGTTAGTCTGAGAGCATCACTGTGCTCTTTTTCTTTTGTGCACAGGCTGCAAGAGGGGTAGGGATTCACTGGACCAGCAACACCCAAAGCAGGCTGCTCTCTCTGGTCTTGCACATGTTCAAAGTTGACTTTTCACTGGGGCTGGTGCTTCCGTGACTTCTTTTTTTTTTTTAACTTTTTTTATTGATTATGCCATTACATTTGCTCTATTCCCCCCCTCCATTCCCCTCCACCCTGCATACCCCTCCCCCACCATTTCCTTCTTTAGTTCATGAACACGTGTCTCAAATTCTTTAGATTCTGTATTTCCCCTGCTATTCTTACCCTCCCCCTATCTATTTTCTATCTACTGTCTATGCTACTTATTTTCTGTACCTTCTCCCCCCTTCCCCTCCTCCCACTCCCCTGTTGCTAACCCTCCATGAGATCTTCATTTCTATGGTTCTGCTCCTGATCTAGCTGTCCTCTATGTTTGCTTTTGTTTTAGGTGTGGTTCTTAATAACTGTGAGTTTGCTGTCCTTTCACTGTTCATCTTTTTTATCTTCTTTTTCTTAGGTAAGTCCCTTTAACATTTTGTATAATAAGGGCTTGGTGATGATGAACTCCTTGAATTTGGTCTTATCTGAGAAGCACTTTATCTGCCCTTCCATTCTAAATGAAAACTTTGCTGGGTAGAGCAATCTTGGTTGTAGATCTTTGGTTTTCATGACTTGGAATACCTCTTTCCAGCCCCTTCTTGCCTGTAAGGTGTCTTTTGAGAAATCAGCTGACAGTCTGATGGGAACTCCTTTGTAGGTGACTGTCCCCTTAGCTCTTGCTGCTTCTAGGATTCTCTCCTTCATTTTAATCTTGGCTAATGTAATTATGATGTGCCTTGGTGTGTTCCTTCTTGGGTCCAACTTCTTTGGGACTCTCTGAGCTTCCTGGATTTCTTGGAAGTCTATTTCCTTTGCCAAATTGGGGAAATTTTCCTTTATTATTTGTTCAAATAAGTTTTCCACTGGTGGCTGTGCCTTTCCTCCTTCTGGTACCCCTATAATTCGGATGTTGGAACGTTTAAAGATGTCCTGGAGGTTTCTAAGCTTCTCCTCATTTTTCTGAATTCTTATTTCTTCATTCTTTTCTGATTGATCACTTTTTTCTTCCTTCTGGTCCACTCCCTTGATTTGAGTCCCAATTTTCTTTCCGTTACTATTGGTTTCCTTTGTATTACCACTCAATTCAATTAGTTTAGCTTCCATATGTTTCTCTAATTTGTGACTAAAATCAACTAGTTCTGTAAGGATCCTGATAACCAGTGTTTTGAACTGTGCATCTGAAAGACTGGCTATTTCTTTATCGCTTAGATCTATCAGTTCTGGGGCTCTGAGTTGTCCTAGAGCCATTTTTGGTCTATTCGTGTTGTTAAGTGAGCGGAGCGAAGCCTTAGTTGTTTACCAGGACGGGGAGACCCAGGTCGCTGGTTTGTGATGCTGTGTGTGGGGGCGTGGTCAGAGAGGGAGCAATGGCGGTCCTCTCCGCTAGCCCAGTCCGTCCAGTCACACCACTTGCCCCAGGCCTGTTTATTCGATCAGAATTGTGCGAAACTGCTGCCCCGAGCAGACTTCCCTTCTCACTGGTTTCTCCGCACGCAGATGCACGACCGACGGACCTGCCGTGCCTCTTCCCTGTGCGCTCCGGTAGCCAGCTCACTCTCGATCAGCGCTTTCGGCTGCTCGTGCCCTCACTGTGCACCACCCGGGAATTTTTTCTTGCTAACCTGTTCCGCTGCTGGCTTCGCTCCTCATACCGGTCCAGCTGAGTATCTAGTTGTCCTTTGGACTCCATATTGTCGATTTTCCGTGTGGCTTGGTTGTGACTGCTGTTAAAAATAGTTGTTCTTAGATTTGGTTGTGCACAGAGGCAAGGTGGTTCCTCCACCTACATCTCCATCTTGGCAGAAGTCCCGTGACTTCTTTACTGATTGCTCTCCCACAGTATCTCTGACCTACAGTTTTGGTGTAGTCACTGGCGTCTCTGCCAGTTTGTTGCTGAATAATTTTGCAGCCCATAGGAATCTCAGTATTTTCTCTACTCATGACCCTTCAGATGTGTGGGTTACCCTTTGTACAGGCACTGAGACAATGCCATGCTGTCTCTCTTCCTTGTGGTCCTCATCTGGTTATGAGAAATACGCATTGCTCCTTGCTCTGAACCACACTGTTTTCATTACTATAGTTTTGTAATGTATTTTGAAATCAAGAAGTGTGATGCTTCTAGTTTTGTTCTTTTTGTTGAATCTCTACTTTGCAATTTAAAATAACTTTAGCACTTTCAATAACTTATAAAAGACCAGAAAAGCCATATAACTAACTTATTACCTTATATCTAAGTGGCAGGCAGGGGGTACTGCCTCATGCAATGTAGTTAAGGATCAGTGAAAGATGAAAGTAAAATTAATTTATGGTTGCTTCTAATGGGTTATGTTTTTTTGTTCACTGTGACAATTGCTTTATTGTCATTTTTGTTTCTTAAAATTATCTCATCTTTGGCTTCCAAGATCTTACTCCTATGATTTGTTTTTTGGTCTCTTTCACTGATTACTCCTCTTTGCTCCTCCACTTCAATGTACATATCTAGACCTGTGATTTCATTTGGCACATACATGTTAGTGACTCTCAGATATGCCGTTACCCATTCAGATCTCTGCCATAACCTGTAGATCTAATGCTAGTGGTCTCTCTGAGTTTTAAATGTACATATCCCTCATGCCTCCCATTCCTTTTTAAAATTCTTTTTATTTTCAAATTATAATATGGTTTTTAAAAACTTATTGGGGTGACATTGGTTGATAAAATTATGTAGGTTTCAGTTAATAAAGCAAAAACAATTTTTTTGCATTACTTTTCTCAACTCTTGCAAACATAAAAGTTTCATGCCATCTCATGCTGTTATAATCTTGATAAAAGGGGTAGACTTGAATAGATGTTAAAATATCTATTCAAGTCTGCCCCACAGGGCTCAGGATGTTCTCCGAGTGGACAGGACTGGCCCTGGTACTCAACACAGGTGGCCACTGGAGAGAGCCTGTATAAAGTGGCTTCTCTGAAAGAATAAAGCTTCTCATGACCACAGGGAGGGACCCTCAAAAACAGAAAGACTTGTCTCTTGTTAAATTGGTCCTACGGAATGGTTGTGTCTTGAGCTCACCCTGCCCCCACACTGACGGATCCCCCTGTCTCCTTCCACTTGAATATGAGTGATCATCAGAGAAGAAATTCTCTAGCCCAGAAAGTCACAAGGGGAAAGATTCCAAAATGTGACCGTGAGAATGGCTTGAATCTATATTTTTGCTCATCATTGAGAAGAGATAAAAATGGGCTTTATTCTTTTTATGTTTTCCATTCCTTTCCTAAATGATCCTGAAGTCTCTTTGTTGACTTCTGGTTGCAATTGTGAATATACACTAACAATTTGTGTTCTGAAAATGTGCACAGTGATGGCTAAAGTCTGTGGGAGTCCATCTAGTATAAGGAATATTTGTGTCCTGAAGACAGAAAGCCATTTATTGT